CCCCAGCACGGTACCACCACTGGGCACAGTACCCCAGCACGGTACCACCACCGGGCACAGTACCCCCAGCACCATCTGGCTGCTCCCCGTTAATCCTCTCACACTCACCAGCTGGCGTCAACTGACCCTCAATACCCACAGGTAATCGTAACGTGTCCTCCGCCCTCTCCACGCTGCTGCTGGACTAAAAGCCTGCAGTGAAGCACGTACCTCATTGGGAGAAAGGTCGAGGTCGACCTTTCAAGTCGTTCCATCACGTACCTTCACACAGGGATTATATCTCTCGCTCACAAACTTCACCGCGGCGACCGAGTGCCGGGAACCTATGAGTCTCTACCTATAGGTGGCACCAATGCGTAAACTTCCTCACAAAGCTGCGGTGCAGGTCTGAGACTTTTCACAATTTTGTTCGCGCCCGGGGCACCGCGGATCAATCCGAAGGGACTCCCGAGAGGCACAACGCCACTAGATCATGTTAAAAGTGTGGCAAGCGACATGACTCCTCCAGCAGGACTCGTCACCCTGCGGTAGCGGACACCAATCAGACCAGCAGGTGACCTGGTCTGCTCGCCTGCTGGTCTGATTGCCACCAGCCAACCTGCTGGCGCGGCACGACAGCCACAAGTTGGCTTCGAGTTCTTCGTGGCTTCATGGCTTCGAGTTCCATGAAGCTGATTGTTGAATACTAAATCTGTACAAGAATTTTAAGTGTTTGTGTACAGAAATGTACATGCTTGATCTTAGCGTCGCCAAACTTGGTGTATTTCCGAATGCTACCAAAAGGAATACTGTAGCCAGGTTTTGGGGACGCCATATGGGGTTTCCAGCTCCTGAGACCTGCCTTTATGAATGAATGTTTTGGATCAGTAGCCAAGTTTGAAGCTTTTCTTGAATAGTGCTTCATTCACTACCTATGTTCGGAGCAAACTTCTTGAAACGCTTCGCCGACGTTCTGTAAATAACAGGAAACACTTTCACAGTTAAGAAAGTCACAGGGCACATTGTATTCCCGCTCCTGTGTCTTTATTGTGAAGATCAACAATGAGCAAACCTGTGTTTGCAGTTTGGATCTGCGCTCTGGTCGTGTCTCGCGTTCATGAGACTTACGAAATCCGGATTCTGAGGGGAACACCAGAGGCTTCGGGTGTAGTGAATCTGTTACGTGAACAGAACTCGTGTGTAGTGAATATGTAGCCCCTGTTCTTCATGCAGAACAAGATGCAGCCCCTGTTCTTCATGCAGAACAAGATGCAGCCCCTGTTCTTCATGCAGAACAAGATGCAGCCCCTGTTCTTCATGCAGAACACGATGCAGCCCCAGGTGCCTCAGCTGATTACACATATTCAGGTTGGTTGATGTTCTACCAGGTATTCTCAAGTCAACCAGTCTCTACCAATCAGACCAAACATCTACACCCCAATCAGGGGACCTGGAATTTGTAGAGAGATCGAACGAGCTTAACCTGGTCACCCTACACACGCGGCTTAACCCACTGAGCCACGATATGCAATAAGTAAATTACGGGAGCCGGTGGTTGAGCGGACAGAACACTGGGCGCGTGATCCTGTGGTCCCGGGTTCGATCTCGGGCGCCGGCGAGAAACAATGGGCAGAGTTTCTTTCACCCTGATGCTCCTGTTACCTAGCAGTAAATAGGTACCTAGGAGTTAGTCAGCTGTCACGGGCTGCTTCCTGGGGGTGGAGGCCTGGTCGAGGACCGGGCCACGGGGACACTAACCCCCGAAATCATCTCAAGATAACCGTGTCTGGGGTGACCCAGGACGCTATAGTTCGATCCCCCGGCTCTGCTCCGATGACTTTCGGAGATATATATATATATATATATATATATATATATATATATATATATATATATATATATATATATATATATATATATATATATATATCAGACCCTTATAGTTTGCTACTGTAACTGTGGAGAGGAGGTTAGGGTGCCAAACAGGAACCGAAGACTAAGTACTAATAAAAGTAATACAATTAATAAAAGCGTGTGAGCTAGCCCAACCACTTGGGCTGGACGGTAGAGCGACGGTCTCGCTTCACGCAGGTCGGTGTTCAATCCCCGACCGTCCACAAGCGGTTGGGCACCATTCCCTCCCCCTCGTCCCATCCCAAATCCTTATCCTGACCCCCCTTCCAAGTGCAATATAGTCATAATGGCTTGGCACTTTCCCCCCCTGATAGTTTCCTTCCCTCCTTCAGCCTCACACACTCTAGGGGTCCACAGTTCGAGTCTCCTAGAACCCAGGTGAATGGAACTAAGTGCTAACAACAACAGGCAAGCTACTCACCCCCTCTTTATTGGTCTTCCTTCCAGTTCACCCTTTAGGCCTGGAAAAAAAGGAGAGAGAGATAGAAACTGATATTAACACATTAATATGTGTTAATGATATTAACACATTGATATGTGTTAATGATGTTAACACATTGGTATTAACACATTGATATGTGTTAATGATGTTAACACATTGGTATTAACACATTGATATGTGTTAATGATGTTAACACATTGGTATTAACACATTGATATGTGTTAATGATATGAACACATTGATATTAACACGTTGATATTAACACACAGAATTCTCAAATCAAAAAGGTGCTGTTGAAATGTGAAAACAAAAAATATTAAACAAATTGCAAAAATAGGAGCAAAATAAAACAATGATAACAAATTTAGAATACAGTAAACTAAGAGTTTACTTAGATAAAGTAAACCCAGAGTTTACTTAAAGTAAACCAAGAGTTTACTTAGATAAAGTAAACCAATAGTTTACTTAAAGTAAACCAAGAGTTTACTTAAAGTAAACCAAGAGTTTACTTGATCACACAGACGTCTGCGACGTCCTCTCCATTTCCCACTCTAAAAAATGTAAATATTTTTCCCTAACCAGAGACGTGTGTTCCTCAGTAACTCATCTAAGCTATCGAGGCCACTGTCTAGAGTACGTCAAACTTGCCATGCTTTAACGTGTACTAATACGTCGCTTTTTTAACGAACTGGTCGACGTATTGAGTGAGGGGGTTGTTATGCCAACCTCCTCCCACCCAATTTAAGGCAAATGGGGGAAAACTTTGACAAACCGCCAGCTTCCTGTCCTCGTCGATGTCACTATAGTGTGTTAGTGGCCCCTTAGGTAAATTCAGGTATAGTTCTCAACCAGTAGTAGCTTGTTCGGTATATTTATATATTCAAGACTGTATAGCGAGGATCATATCTGCAAATATGATCTATTATTGAGTATGCTGTACCAGCATGGAACCCCAGCCGTAAGAAGGGCAAAGCAAAAATTAGAAAAGTCTAAAAATATGCAACAGGGCTCAGTCCTAAGCAAAGGGATCTGAGCCGTGAAGAAAGATTGAGAGAACTAGACCTCACTGCATTGGAGGAGAGAAAACACAGGGTAGACATGATAACGACGTACCAGATATTAAAGGGGGGATTGACAAAGTAGATACAGAAGCAATGTTCAATGTAAGGAACAGTGGAACAAGGGAACACAATAACAAGAGGACACTTTTGGAAACAGTAAACACAGAGGAGCCACATGGACGTCAGAAAGAACTCTTCCAGTGTCAGAGACGTAAGTGGAACGGACTAGTGATGATCAAGTTCTGGAAGCCAGCTTAATACACAACTATTAATATAAATCTGACAAGAGGACGAGTGAGAAGTGTCACTGCATTGAAGTAATGATGGTCGAAAGGCGGGGCTTAGGAGCAGATGCTCGACCTAGTAAGCTCAACTAGGTGAGTACACACACGCGCGCGCGCGCGAGAGAGAGAGAAGGTGGAGGCTAAAACCGTCAGTAGTTTCAAAGTGTTATACGATAAAGAGTTCTGGGAAGACGGGACACCACCAGGAGAGCTCTCATCCTGTAATTTTTACGTTTAGGTAATTACACACACACACACACACACACACACACACACACACACACACACACACACACACACACACAGGAGTACCTAAGCAACAGAAGACAGCGAGTCACTGTGATGGGTGAGGTCTCAGATTGGCGAGACGTCACCAGTGAAGTCCCGCAGGGTTCAGTCCTTGGACCTATACTGTTTCTGATATAAGTAAATGATCTCCCAGAGGGTATAGAATCGTTCCTCTCATTGTTTGCTGATGATGCAAAAATTATGAGGAGGATTAAAACAGAGGAAGATAGTATGAGGCTACAAGATGACCTAGACAGACTGAATGAATGGTCCAACAAATGGCTACTAAAGTTCAACCCGAGTAAATGTAAGGTAATGAAGATAGACAGTGGAAACAGGAGGCCAGACACAGGATACCGAATGAGAGATGAAGTACTTCGTGAAACAGACAGAGAGAAAGATCTAGGAGTTGATATCACACCAAACCTGTCTCCTGAAGCTCACATAAAAAGAATAACATCTGCGGAGTATGCAAGGCTGGCTAACATTAGAACTGCCTTCAGGAACCTTTGCAAGGAATCATTCAGAACCTTGTATATCACATATGTAAGGCCAATCCTGGAGTATGCGGCCCCAGCATGGAGCCCGTACCTTGTCAAGCACAAGACTAAGCTGGAAAAAGTTAAAGTTCAGAGGTATGCCACCAAGCCAGTCCCAGAACTAAAAGGCATGAGTTATGAGGAAAGGCTGCGGGAAATGCACCTTATGACACTGGAAGACAGAAGAGCTCGAGGAGACATGATCGCCACATATAAAATTCTGAGGCGAATTGACAGGGTAGACAAGGATGGATTATTTAACACGGCTGGTACAGGCACAAGGGGACACAGGTGGAAGCTGAGTACGCAAATGAGCCACAGAGACATTAGAAAGAACTGCTTCAGTGTCAGAGTAGTTAGTAAATGGACGTAGTAGTTAGGGTAGTTAGTAAATTCGTAGTTAGCAGAGTAGTTAGTAAATTCATCACTATGAAGTGATGTGGTGGAGGCTGACTCCATACACAGTTTCAAATGTAGATATGATAGAGCTCGAGAAGCTCAGGAATCTATACACCAATAGACTGACGGTTGAGAGGCCGGACCAAAGAGCCAAAGCTCAACCCCCGCAAGCACAACTAGGTGAGCACACAAACCCCATCACCAAACCATACACCCACTAACCTAGGGAGCCGAGACCTGCTACACCCGCGTCCACCAGACTATCCTTCACCACTGAACATAATAATTAGCCACAGAGTCCCCCTCCGCCTCCAGCTCCAAGGTCAGCCACGAGGGAACTCTTCTTAAAACCTAAGGTCCCGAAGGAGGTTATGGCCACCTCATCACCCTATCAACTCCTTTGGACTGGTAGAGGAAACGAATGCCAGCGTGTCTAACACTCCAGTGACGACATTTTCTGCATATTTCACCTCTCATTCAGTGCCCTAATTTCGTCATCGGGGTCTGGCAACAGAGCACAAGCCTAGAGGTGGTGTTCCACTTGAGAGTTCTGGGAAGGTGGTGTCATCAGAGACGGGCTCTCCATAGCCCGTGCTACTTGGAGCTTTTTGTTCCAGGTGGAGAATCTTAAACAGCAACAACAGGTGGTGTCATATAGACAGGAAACTGATAGACGGTAAGATATGGTTCACGAAGCCTGTTCAGCGTTAGGGCTGTACTCAAGATGTCGACACATCCCAGGAGGCCTTTTATAATGCTCGACACATCCCATTAGGCAGTATAATGCTCGACAAATCCCGGGAGGCATTTTATAATGCTCGACACATCCCAGGAGGCAGTATAATGCTCGACACATCCCATGATACCTTTTATAATGCTCGACACATCCCAGGAGGCCTTTTATAATGCTCGACACATACAAGGAGGCCTTTTATAATGTTCGACACCTCTCAGGAGGCCTTTCATAATGCTCGACACATCCCAGGAGGCCTTTTATAATGCTCGACACATACCAGGAGGCCTTTTATAATGCTCGACACATCCCAGGAGGCCTTTTATAACGTTCGACACATCCCAGGAGGCCTTTTATAATGCTCGACACATACCAGGAGGCCTTTTATTATGCTCGACACATCCCAGGAGGCCTTTTATAATGCTCGACACATCCCAGAAGGCCTTTTATAACGCTCGACACATCCCAGGAGGCCTTTTATAATGCTCGACACATCCCAGGAGGCCTTATATAATGCTCGACACATCCCAGGAGGCCTTATATAATGCTCGACACATCCCAGGAGGCAGTATAACGCTCGACACATCCCAGGAGGCAATATAATGCTCGACACATCCCAGAGAAGTTAGCGAGGAAAGAACATTGTAGCACACCGCGGTAGTTTAAGATCACAAGAGTGCGGGTACAAAAAGCCTCTCCGTTAAAAATGCGACCTATTAGTGCAAACGAAACCTCCGAAATATTAAGTGTGTTCTGCCCCCCCCCCCCCCCCCCCCTGGGTCTCTCGCTTGGTTAGGTGGATGCGTCTGGGTTCGTACGCTTCAGGTTAGGCGCCAAACAGTTGCATTTTGAACGGAGTGACAAATTGAGAGAATGGGAAGCGTTTTCTCGTCTCCAGATGGGTTCGGTCTAAGATGTTTTCTAAGACATTTAGAAACATGTTTGTTTCTATACATAAAGATGTTTTCTAAGGTACATAGATGTTTTCTAAGGCACATAGATGTTTTCTAAGGCACATAGGTGTTTTCTAAGGCACATAGGTGTTTTCTAAGGCACATAGATGTTTTCTAAGGCACATAGGTGTTTTCTAAGGCACATAGGTGTTTTCTAAGGCACATAGGTGTTTTCTAAGGCACATAGATGTTTTCTAAGGCACATAGATGTTTTCTAAGGCATCTAGAAACCGCTGAGAGACTTAGTGTTTCGTGAGAGGTCCTTTAGGGGTTATTAAGCGAACTTTCTTCAAGTTCTTTCACTGCCCGTACAGAGGAGACTCACACTGCTAAACGATCAATTAAACTATTACGGGTGGGAAGGTGCACCAGAGCTCTGCCGGTCAGGAAAAAGCGCGAGGAAGGACACCCTGTGTTGACACCTTATGTCCGGTACACTCCCTCCCCCCCTTCTTCTACACCCACACACCCCCTGCTAACCCCCCCTTAACCTCTCACTACACCCCTTAGGCACACATACACTAACCCTACCCTAACACCCCTATAGAACACCTCATACTCCCCATACCGACGCATATCTTGCTTCATATCCGGAACGCACCTATCCCCATCCTTCTGAATGTAGGGGTGTTGTGTCAACCTTGCCACACCCTCGCTACACCCTCAGCCACACCCGACGCTACACCCTCACCACACCCTCGCTACACCCTCAGCCACACCCTCGGTCACACCCTCAGCTACACCCTCACCCACACCCTCACCACACCCTTGCCACACCCTCGCCACACCCTCACCACACCCTCGCTACACCCTCAGCCACACCCGACGCTACACCCTCACCACACCCTCGCTACACCCTCAGCCACACCCGACGCTACACCCTCACCACACCCTCGCTACACCCTCAGCCACACCCGACGCTACACCCTCGCTACACCCTCAGCCACACCCTTGCCACACCCGACGCCACACCCGACGCCACACCCGACGCTACACCCTCACCCACACCCTCACCACACCCTCAGCCACACCCGAACCACACCCGAACCACACCCTCGCTACACCCTCAGCCACACCCTCAGCCACACCCTCAGTCACACCCTTGCCACACCCTCGCCACACCCTCTGCCACACCCTCGCCACACCCTCGCCACACCCTCAGCCACACCCTCAGCCACACCCTCTGCCACACCCTCAGTTACACCCTCGCCACACCCTCAGACACACCCGACGCCACACCCTCAGCTACACCCTCAGCCACACCCTCAGCCACACCCTCAGCCACACCCTCAGCCACACCCAGCGTCATCAAACAAAAGCAACATTCCTGCGGGAGTGTGGAAGCATCTGAGCTCTCGTGCAAGTTTAGTCTGGGGCGAGGGCGAGGGAGGGGTCTGCAACAGCCTGTGTGAGAGTTCCAACGGCTGCAGAGGTATGCCATATCAACACGTCGGTAAGTGCACGAATCTTCAGGACACGTGTACGGATCTTCAGGACACGTGTACGGATCTTCAGGACACGTGTACGGATCTTCAGGACACGTGTACGGATCTTCAAGACACATGCAGGAATCTTCAAGACACATGCAGGAATCTTCAAGACACCTGCGCAGAATCTTCAAGACCCCTGCGCAGAATCTTCAAGACCCCTGCGCAGAATCTTCAGGACACGTGCGCAGAATCTTCAGGACACGTGCGCAGAATCTTCAAGACCCCTGCGCAGAATCTTCAGGACACCTGCGCAGAATCTTCAGGACACGTGCGCAGAATCTTCAAGACCCCTGCGCAGAATCTTCAAGACCCCTGCGCAGAATCTTCAAGACCCCTGCGCAGAATCTTCAGGACACCTGCGCAGAATCTTCAGGACACGTGCGCAGAATCTTCAAGACCCCTGCGCAGAATCTTCAAGGCCACGTGCGCAGAATCTTCAGGACACCTGCGCATAATCTTCAAGACTCATGCGCAGAATCTTTAAGACACCTGCGCAGAATCTTCAAGACCCCTGCGCAGAATCTTCAAGACCCCTGCGCAAAATCTTCAAGACACCTGCGCAGAATCTTCAAGACACCTGCGCAGAATCTTCAAGACACCTGCACAGAATCTTCAAGACCCCTGTGCAGAATTTTCACGACACCTGCGCAGAATCTTCAAGACCCCTGCGCAGAATCTGACGCCCGCGACCTTCTCTTGTCTTGTGCTTGTTAAAAGTTCACCACTTAGTTCCTGGCGGCGCGACGTCTTGTCCACGGCGTGAGAAACAGTCTCAGCCAAATGGCCTCGTACTAACTACACAACCAGTTCTTTGTCTAACTACCTCCTGGACGGACGCTCCCCCACGTGACGTCATCTCTGCTCCCACAGCTAATGGCGTCGCTGTGAGTGTTTTAATAGCATTAAATGTGTCCTATTTGTACGGTAGAGGGTGTGTATGTCTTGGTTAGGGGTTCGAGTCCCACACGACTGTAGGTATAGCTCCTATCCTGTTATTGTATCCCGGCTTCTATCCTGTCCTTGTATCCCAGCTCCTATCCTGTCCTTATATTCCAGCTCCTATCCTGTCCTTATATCCCAGCTCCTATCCTGTCCTTATATTCCAGCTCCTATCCTGTCCTAATGTCCCAGCTCCTATCCTGCCCTAATATCCCAGTTCCTATCCTGCCCTGTCCTAATATCCTACCTCCTATACCTGTCCTTATATCCCACCAGTGAACGTTCTCTTTTGATAATTATTATATTTGTATTTCCTTTTCGTTTATTGCCATATTTATGGCAAGAGATAGTGTGAAGGAGATTGACTAGGCCTTCGTTTATAATTGGCCTCTGGTAATTGGCTCAAAATAAGCGGTGTCACTGAGTATAATGATCAGTGAGACAGCGAGTATCCGTGAGTATCAGGGATTCACCGAACATTATACTTCACTCTCAGTGATCTTGATTGAGTGTATAAGGTCTACGATGCTAATGTTGTACACGGATTATTGTGTAGAATTTAGTTATAGTAGCTCGCTCTCTCTCTCTCTCTCTCTCTCTCTCTCTGAAAAGTATTGGCAGCGGAAGTAGTTTGGGGGCGTGTTGGGTTGGTTTGGGTTTAGGAGCGGTCCGGTTTAGGAGTCACCGGTCCAACATCGCTAACCAAGCCATTTTCTATGGTCAATCGAGTACGGGTTTCCCAGCGATGTCTGTAAGATATCTATCTATCTATCGATCTATCTATCTATCTATCTATCTATCTATCTATCTATCTATCTATCTATCTATCTATCGATCTATCTATCTATCTATCTATCTATCTATCTATCTATCTATCTATCTATCTATCTATGTCTCTGTCTGTATGTATGTCTGTGTAGTCTGTCTTTCTCTCTCTCTCTCTCTCTCTCTCTCTCTCTCTCTCTCTCTCTCTCTCTCTCTCTCTCTCTCTCTCTCTCTCTCTCTCTCTCTCCTGCCATGACGTTGGAGCTAAAGCGACCACCAAGAACTTCCGCGCCAAAACTAACCTTTGGCATAGACCTGCAAGGAGATGATGGCCCGCGTCTCGCCATGGTCGTTCTTTGCCAGTATGCTGTAGGCGCCAGTGTCCTCCAATTGGCAGTTGGGTATTTCCAGGCGGTACACGGGGCCCGTCCCCACCTCCTGGAACCTCGACCCGTCGCTGTACAAGCTCGGCTGTAATACAAAAACAGGAAGCACGTTACAAAATGTAAAGTGATTCATTCTTGGCGGGCATTTATAATAATAATACATAATACAGTAGATGCTCTGAATAATTCCTTAATGCTAGAACACGTAGCAAATACACAAATACACAGATTCTCTGGAATACAGTGGGTCGCAGGGACGGTTGTATTAAAGGTCTGGCGGCACAGCCTGGAATCTTTAACGTACAAACGGAGTTGAAATTTGAATTTAAATTCTTTATTCTTTCGGGTAGAAAGGGACTCACATTTGATGCTGGGATGGTCATCAGTCATCACAGTCACTGATATTGATGCTGGGATGGTCATCAGTCATCACAGTCACTCATATTGATGCTGGGATGGTCATCAATCATCACAGTCACTCATACTGATGCTGGCATGATCATCAATCATCACAGTCACTCATATTGATGCTGGCATGATCATCAATCAACAGTCACTCATATTGATGCTGGCATGATCATCAATCATCAGTCACTCATATTGATGCTGGCATGAGCATCAATCATCACAGTGACTCATATTGATGCTGGCATGATCATCAATCATCACAGTCACTCATATTGATGCTGACATGAGCATCAATCATCACAGTCACTCATATTGATGCTGGCATGAGCATCAATCATCACAGTCACTCATATTGATGCTGGCATGATCATCAATCATCAGTCACTCATATTGATGCTGGCATGATCATCAATCATCACAGTCACTCATATTGATGCTGGCATGATCATCAATCATCACAGGGGCACTAACCATAAGGGCTCAGAGTGGAGAAAAGTATATTTGATCTTTTAATGATCTTGAACTTTCAAGTGTTCAGACATCTAGGTTGAGCTGAAGTTCTTGGGTCCCGACTCATAATCTTCAACTGAAGTGGGAATACAGATTATTGTATCCCCTTTAGATATCGTCATATCTTGCAGGGTCAAGCTTTAGCTGTTGGACCCCACTTTTCTACCTGTTCTTCTAATGTAGAATCTCAACCTAAATTTAACTTATGATATCTGTTTTAATTGCGACTGGAGGGTGATTTCTACCATCAATTTGTCTAGTTCATTCAAGCTTTTATTTAACTCCTACGCTAAGGAAGCTTTGTATAGCATTGTTGTACAGCCACTAGCACGCATAGCGTTTCGGGCAGGTCCTTGGGCCAGATTCACGAAGCAGTTATGCTAGTACTTACGAACCTGTACATCTTTCCTCAATGTTTGGCGGCTTTGGTTACATTTATTAAACAGTTTACAAGTATAAAAACTTGCCAATCAACTGTTGTTATTGTTATAAACAGCCGCCTGGTGCTTCGCAGCTCATTAACTGTTTAATAATTGTAAACAAAGCCGCCAAAGACTGAGAAAAGATGTACAGGTTCGTAAGTGCTTGCATAACTGCTTCGTGAATCTGGCTCCTTAATCTTAATTTTCCCTAGAATACGGCCTGCCAAATTGTTTAACAACCAGGTACCCATTCACTGCTGGGTGAAAAAAGGCTACAGTTATATGTAGTAGAAACAGTAGAGGAAAAATAGATCGGTTAGAAAGGCGGGGTCCAAGAGCTAACAGCTCGATTCTGCAGGCATAAATAGTAAATTCCCACACACACACATATATATCTATTCCAGTTGATTGACAGTTGAGTGGCGGGACCAAAGAGCCAGAGCTCAACCCCCGGAAGCACAAACAGATGAGTAAAAATAGGTGAGTACACACACACACACACACACACACACACACACACACACACACACACACACACACACACACACACACACTCACACTCACACTCACACACACACACACACACACACACACACACACGTTCTTTAAGAACAAGAGGACATAGATATAAACTAGCTAAACACAGATGCCGAAGAAATATAAGAAAATTCACTTTCGCGAACAGAGTGGTAGACGGTTGGAACAAGTTAGGTGAGAAGGTGGTGGAGGCCAAGACCATCAGTAGTTTCAAAGCGTTATATGACAAAGAGTACTGGGAAGACGGGACACCACGAGCGTAGCTCTCATCCTGTAATTACACTTAGGTAATTACACTTAGGTAATTACACACACACACACACACGCTGTACAGGTTCGCATTTGTTTGTCATTTCTTTAGTTGACTGACAGTTGAGAGGCGGGACCAAAGAGCCAAAGCTCATCTCCCGCAAAGCACAACTAGATGAGTACACACATTTACGCGTACAACCACCGAGATTGTATATATTGTGCTATAATTCATAATTATATTCTTGTGTTCTCTTATATATATCACTCACTCGCTGATTTAAATGTTATCTTCACTCCCGTTCTCGCAAATTTAATAAGTCAATATTGACTTATTAAATATGTGCATAGGTGACATACTTAACATAATAGATACCCTTAAAAAGATTCATAGAAAACACCGACCTTACCTAACCTTGTTAGTATCTTAAGATAAGCATCTTATTGCTTCGTAATTACAATTATTACCTAACCTATAATAGGTATAGGTTAAGTAATAATTGTAATTACGAAGCAATAAGATGCTTATCTTATGATACTAACAAGGTTAGGTAAGGTCGGTGTTTTCTATGAATCTTTTTAAGGGTATCTATTATGTTTAGTATATCACCTATGCACGTAGTTAATAAGTCAATATTGACTTTACGAATTTGCGAGAACGGGTTGGACCAGGAAGAAATACCTCTCAAGCAGTCAACCTGCAGCCTCCCTGAGACTGGTGGTGGTGTGGGGGCGTGGCCATTAACTATCTCTAGGGGGGGGGAGGGGGAACAGGACGAGGTCAAGGGGTCAAGAGGGCAAGCAATCTGAGGGGGCCCAGATTCACGAAGCAGTTACGCAAGCACTTACGAACCTGGGGCCAGATTCACGAAGCAGTTACGCAAGCACTTACGAACTTGGGGCCAGATTCACGAAGCAGTTACGCAAGCACTTACGAACTTGGGGCCAGATTCACGAAGCAGTGACGCAAACACTTACGAACCTGTACATCTTTTCTCAATCTTTGGCGGCTTTGTTTACAATTATTAAACAGTTAATGAGCTGCGAAGCACCAGGAGGCTGTTTATAACAATAACAACAGTTGATTGGCAAGTTTTCCTGCTTGTAAACTGTTTAATAAATGTAATCAAAGCCGTCAAAGATCGTGGAAAAGATGTACACGTTCGTAAGTACTTGCGTAACTGCTTCGTGAACCAGCAGTTGACTCGTTCCACACCCAGCCATCAGCGCCGGTGACCGGACAGCATCGTGAACAACCACCAACTTTCACCACACCTAACTGCTAGTTGATATGCTACCCACGAAACAATCCAGTCGCAATCAAGGCTCTTAAACAACACAACCACCCCCCCTAAAAAGACGTGTATATATATATATATATATATATATATATATATATATATATATATATATATATATATATATATATATATATATATATATATATATATGCGAACAAGCCTGAATGGTCCCCAGGACTATATGCGAATGAAAACATTCATATATATATATATATATATATATATATATATATATATATATATATATATATATATATATATATATACACACAACTTTAGAACACTTTCCCACCAGGAGACTCGAACCCTAGCCAGCACAGAAGCCTTCCAGCAACTGGCATAACAGGTACGCCTTAACCCGCTCCACCACCTGCTCAGACCCTTAAAAGAGATGGTAATTTCGGAGTATTTAAATACACTAAAGATCACCACCTCCCAAGAGCACTAGAGCAAGTGAGGGGTCATTTATACGTTTATTTCATCAAGTCCCTGTTAATATGGGAAGACACAGTGTCTATGCTTAAGGCACAACTCTCCTAAACACGAGAGTGAAGTATACAACTTTAGAACACTTTCCCACCAGGAGACTCGAACCCTAGCCAGCACAGAAGCCTTCCAGCAACTGGCATAACAGGTACGCCTTAACCCGCTCCACCACCTGCTCAGACCCAGTCTTCCCATATTAACAGGGACTTGATGAAATAAACGTATAAATGACCCCTCACTTGCTCTAGTGCTTTTGGGAGGTGGTGATCTTTGGTGTATTTAAATACTCCAAAATTACCATCTCTTTTAAGGGTCTGAGCAGGTGGTGGAGCGGGTTAAGGCGTACCTGTTATGCCAGTTGCTGGAAGGCTTCTGTGCTGGCTAGGGTTCGAGTCTCCTGGTGGGAAAGTGTTCTAAAGTTGTATACTTCACTCTCGTGTTTAGGAGAGTTGTGCCTTATATATATATATATATATATATATATATATATATATATATATATATATATATATATATATATATATATATATATATATATATATAAGTAAACAACACAGAAATCATCGATAGATACAGTGATAGCAGGCGGCTTGACGTTTGCGAGGCACTATACATCAAGAAGTCAACACCAGCAATCAACAGCCAATTATTGCACAACTATATTCTACCCACCTCAAGACTCCGCTCCAATATAGAAGCATCAAGAAATATGGACCAATAGGCTTTCTACAAACACTTCTATTCAATATCCATTGTTTCGTGTTCTGTCTTGTGTTGATGAAATTAATACCCTATTAATACTCTTGTTCTGTCTTGTGTTGATGAAATTAATACCCTATTAATACCACATTTTGTTCTGTCTTGTGTTAATGCCACATCACCCCTTCCACCTCACTCAAATGTAGATATAAAATCGGAGATACGTAAGTTCTATTCAGTTGTGTATTTGTGAACTAAAGTCTTTGAAAATGTAATAAGTTTTACGAAACGCGCCCGTGTCGCGTCAGACTAGAAATAAAAATGAATTTTGGAGAATTGATTTTTGATTTACCTCCAACAGTGAAGCGTAATGTACGAAAGATTGAGAAAATTCGTGTTAGAATTATTAACCTTACTTTTTCGGTCATATTTAATAATATATATATATATATATATATATATATATATATATA